AAAGAGACTGGATCCACTACAGGAGGATTGGAAGCAACTGCTACATTAATGACAAGCTATATAGCTGCAGGGGAGGAGAGACCAACTTTTATATATAGAATTGTAGAGCTTTACCTGACAGAAATTTGGTAGAGATTTTGTTTGTGATGTTATTTTCATGCTGGAACACTGCTGTGATTTTAATTGCTGCTGCAAGTTATTTAAACCTATTATTACATGCATTATTATGTAACATATATGTATAAAGGCAATGCACATCGAATTTAAGCATATGAACATGCAATATCATTGTAGAATTGCTCTTAGAACATGTTCCTTATAAGCTATTTAAATCTAGCCCAGCTTTCCTCCTCGTTCACACTAGACCGGCAGTGCAGTGATATTCCCCTGCCATCTCTGCTCTTGCATACTAGTGGCAACATTGTCTCAAATGTCTTCTCTTTTCCTCAAAAACATAATTTCCTCATGCAAATCCTTAGAAACTATTGGAATTTTTGCCTACCAGTGCCACAGAATCCTCTGCCTTAGATGCTGTTTTCTGTCTCCCATTCTCTCTCTCTCCTGGCTGTAAACCATATCCTGAGCAAAAGAACCTCCCAAAGACCATTTCTGGACTCAACTGCCCTTTGAACGTTTGGAGCTGCATCTCTACATCAAAGCTAATCATACCTAGGAAAACAGCTTCTTTGGCTAGGGACCCTTGGTATTTTGCTGGGCTGTGAATACCTGATCAACCCTGTGGAGAGGTCTCAGCGTGGGCACATGATTAGGGACAGTGGGTAGAAATAAACATGAGCCTTTCCAAGTGAAACCAACCCCACACCATAATTCAAGGCTTTGCTGTTCAGGTCTTCTAAATTTCTACTTTATAATTTGTTATCCCCAGAAGTACTTTTGCCTTGCCTGACAAACCTCCATTTCTGTTCCTCTGGCCATCTGAAATTCCCTTTTAAAAACCCAGCTGTGAATAGGTGGTTATGAGTTTTGTAAGTAATGATTAAGTTGCAAAAGTTTTGCCTCCATTGAAAAAGCCATCCTGAATGAGAAGAAAAGCCCATTTAGGATTAATTCCATTAAGTTTAACATCCCTTGTCATCTAACACTTGAAAAATATACACACATACATACACCCCACACACCTCTACATCAACCCCCTTTTGTTTCCTATGCCCTAGATCAGATTGTTGCTTTGTGTTCACAGTGACAAAATTACTTTCTCTCCCAAGCCTTAAGGCTTCCTCCACGTGGATTAGAAGTCAAATCTGGGCACAATTGGAGGAAAATTCTAGTGTGTTCCTATGTTTCAAAGAAAACTGTAAAATCCTCTTACTACACAGAGAAGAGAGAATCTGTTCCACATAGTTTTCATCCTGGTCTTTTGACACTTACTCATGTTGTGAAGCAGATGGTTTTCCTGGCACGTCTTGGGGTTTCCCTGAGAATTCAGTTCCTACTTGTTCCTTGTGTGCTTGCCTCAGGAGCTCAGCCATGGATACTTCTGCCTCACTCCTGGGAGTGCTGTCCTGGAAGGGGGAATAACTGCCAGACACCTCTTCCTCGGAGACCAGAGGAGGGTGCTCAGTTGGCTCACTGTCCTTAGATATCCTCTGGTGTTCTTGCTTGTGTTTTGAAGTGAACACTTCTTCTTGCAGTGCAGAAAACCCTTTGAGAAACAGAGAGAAATGTCATTACAAGAATGCAGGAAGTCCTTCTCGTGCTCCATGTACACTTAAAACCCTTGGATGGAACACATTACTTGGAATTCTTACCCTCTGTAAGTAGCTGAAGTAACACTGGATTATCTCTACTATTGCCAGATTTGGACAGTAACAGGCAAAATAAATTATACCCAGAAATTTACCTGAATTAATTCATCTTGAAACCCTCAAAGTTCGAAAGAAGATTCACAACAAGTTTTTTCAAGCAGGTTAGGATAGATTTTAGTGACTTTCCCCCCCACCTCATCTGCCTCTGGAAAAAATAACCACAGAAAAATGGACATTCATAGAGCACTAGGTACAAGAAGTAGCTCCTCTGTGTGTGTACTGGGTATGTGCGGGCAGGTTTTGGTAGTGGGGGGGCATACAGGGGTGCTTCAAAACATATAAACACATCTACCCACCCCCAACCCCTAAGCTCAAAGCAATACTGAGTTAAGCAGACAGAAGTATCACTACTGGATTCACATAATTTGGAGGTGATTCTTTGGTGTACAACCAATGACCTAATCCACTCAACTTTTACACTTAAGAAATGCAACAGCATCCTGCAGAATTACAATACCCTGGGTACTTGAATCTGAAGGGGTTTTTCTTTCCCAAAGCATGGAATAGTTTTCCTTTTATAAGTCTTGGTTGAATCCTAATACAACCTTCTGAACTTTCATAAAAGCAAATAGAAAAATAACCAATAAACTGGGAAAAAGTTTCTGACCACATGGTTTGCTCATTAAGAATCAACTAAACCACGGATTTACACCTGGTGAAATGGTGCCCCATGTGATTCCATGCTTGCATTCATCCACACTATCTGTGCTTTCAAGAGGAGATTCTAACCCTCAAATCATTACAGCTAACAGATTAGCCTAGTCCAACATTTCAGAGCAGAAACTAGAGCCTGGACAAGGTCACCTGGGCAGTGTGGCTCAGCAGACACTTACCTTCACTGTGATCCAACCCTATTGACTGCTCCATTTCCGTGTAGGTGCGAGTGCCATGGACCTGCATGGAGTCGATGCCGCTGGTCTCCATCAGGTGGACAATATCCATCCGGTTGATTTTTGTAAGACATTGGGTAAGATTTGTATCTGTGGCATTAGAATGACACCATGGAGCTGAGTTAAGAATTACACACACTCTCTCCTTTCACTATTCCATAGGAAGGGCAGATATAGGATGCTGACCAATATAATACCATACATAAATGGCACTGCTGATACATTTAGAAGCATTGCCATGTTCTACAGACAAGACTAGAAATAACCTCAAGTACAATCCATGATCATTCCTCTGATAGCCTTAACCTTCCCCAAATTTTCTCTTTGTGATTCCAACACACACTTGTCACCTCAACTAGCAAATTACACGTAGGATGACTGAAACAAACCTGTTGCATGTTTCCCATCCCTTTCAAGCCAGTATTTGAGGAGTGCATGGCTCTGGTCTTGGAGAGAATTGGGGTTTTCAATTCGGATCTGGTGGATTTGCTCTTCTGTGAAATCCAGTTCTCTTGCTAGCTCTGAAAAAGAAATCCATGTCTGTAAAGAGCTCATCTACTATACTCCCCTGGACTGTTTTCATTTTGGACTTGATTTTGGAGGGTGACATGTTTTACCAGGGCAGAGGGAACTCTAACCCCAAATAACTCTATTTCCAGGCTGGATTGTAAACTGGTGCCACTGTAAACTTCAACAAACACAGATTAACTATGCCTTAGGCTCAAATCCTATGTAGTCCAATGAGTTTGGACAAAAAACAGCCACTATTTCACCTCCTCAAAGTAACACTTGACACAGTTATCTTTACTGTGAGCAAACTTTACCATAATAAACCCAGGAATATTTATGCAGCTCTATCACCCTGCCCTCCCTGAAGTGTTATATAACATTAATGTCCATTTTGATGAGGATCCATTTTTTTCTAGTTTTGTTTTCAGAGCTATCTATTCACTTTTAATAATTTTTCAGCATATTCCTAATCTGTTACATTGCACATGTCCAAGTCCTACTGATTTCAAGATAATCCACGTTGGGATAGGTGACACATGCTCCCAGTTACTCTATGGATTGAAGCAGAGGACAGGAAAGGAAGAGGTGAGTAACATAAGCAAAAGTAGCTGTGATTGTTTGCATGTACTCTGAGGATGCTGATAGAAACAGTATAGAGCATAATCTTCGTTATCAAGGAGTTCAGATGTTCCCCCTGGTATACAGCTGCTCTAACTCCTAGAGCCTGGATTATTGTTGGAGTGTGATACTGTTCTAGTGAGAGACAGAAAAAAGTGTAGACCTGACATAATTTTTTTGCAGCAACATTTTTGTCAGCCTGTGCTGTTTGACACAACATGGAGATTCCTACACAGTGCTTTTTAAGAGTCTTTAAGCTGATTTTCAACAACAGACATCTGCATCTCATTCTGTGGTACTTTCACTTGTCCCCAGTACCATTCGCTGCCTCAGGTCTGTTAAATCCACAATATTGAAGGGATAAGTGCTAAGAATTGGCTCCTTGTTATCCCTTTTGGGAATCTCAGTAACCTGAAGACAGCAAGCTACTAAAATATTTCTATAAAACACCATTAGATAGTCAGGAAATCATCTAAATGAACAGGAAAAAAATTATGGATCGTTCCCCTCTCTGGAGCAGATGATACACGTTTTACCTGTCCAGCTGAATCCCAAGTGGTCAGCGATGTGGGCCAGTCTTTCCTCCGTCCTTTCCTGATCATCCTGTTGATCTAAAGGTCAAAGAGAGCCACAAGTTGCCTTTTGCATATTAAAAACTGTTTCCATAGGTGATACAGCCCAAGAAGGGAAAGCGCTGGTTTGTCTAACTGCTGTGACTAATGTGGACAGGCCATCAGAGCTGGTAACTACAGGGAGGACTGCCAATCCCCAGGTTCAAAAACAACTCCAAAAAGCTTGATTTTTCAAGGAGCACAGGACTACTGACTTTTTCCATTTGAAAATCAGGCTTTTGTGTGAAAATCTAAGCAAGGACTGAAGCACCTACTGTGTCTATTTTGGCCAAGCTTTTTACTCTAAAACTTCATTCTAGCATTAAATTGAAGACCTGAAGTCAAGAGCCCCTTTCCATGCCTCCTTAGTAAATGTCAAGGTTGAAGAATTCATCAGGACTGGTTCTTCTGATTACTTCTTTCTGTTGTAGGGAGGGTTTTGTTCAGACAGCCCATACAGCACTTCAGATTATGGTCTGTATTTGAGTCATTAATTTAAGTGTCTTTGACCCTTTAGACTAAGGAGTGAGACAAAATACTTACAATGAAGGCAAGGAAAAATCAGATGGTCATTGGTCAGTCTTCATTTATTTCGGTAATGGTGAGACTGACTGCTCCTCCCATCCCCCAAAGGCAATTTGAGGATGGCAGAATTGGGGTTTTGATTTTCCCTGAAGGCACACATGGATCGTGATACCTCAGAATCAGAGAACTGCTTAGGTGTCATGATATATGCACATGTTTCAGCTCCTGGATTTCCATTATGGCCACTCAGTAAGAGTACACAAGATGGAACAAGAGAACCAAACACCAGAAAACTTGTACTAAAGCTTCTGGTGACTCAGAGTTTCAAACAGATTGTCAAAAAAAAGGAACATAAAAGGCTTAATTCTTTCAAACTGCTGCAGATCTCTTTGTGTAACCACTCAAAAGATATAAATTTGCTTGTCTCCCTTTAATCAATGCCCAAACCTCTCATCGTTAGTAAAAGTTAATAGTTAGTAGCAGGGCCAGGGAAAGTCAAAAGCCAAAACATGCATGACCTAGGCAACTGGTCTAATGGTAAAACAATACATATTGTCAGAAGTGTTGGTGTTTATCAAGGTAACACTTCCCATAAAGCATTTATGGTTTGCAATCTTGAGATAGTTTCACAGACAAGAACACAGACACAACACAAAAAAAACCAAACACGGCTCACGGGGGGGGAAAAAAAAGCACAACTAACCACTAAAAGCTGAAAAGAAATGCCACACGCATTACATCTGTATACAAACACACACACACACACCAAAGAAAACAACGAACAAAAGAGTTTAATTCATGACATGCGTCGCACAGGGAATCCCAGTTGTTGGCAAATACCTTCAGCATGGTCATGGACATTTTCGTCAGGGATACGTTCAATCTGAGTCTCTACGGACTCATCCCAAATGGGTCTGATGTCAAAGATGTCTTCAGGAACTGACTGCTGGGTCTCACTGGATGGCACATTTTCAATAACTGAAACTTCTAGGGCACTACTGCTTTCATCATCTGAAACTAATTCTTGCTCTCTCTCTGACTGTGTGAGTCTTTCCACTAGTTTAGAAGCTTCATCACTAATTTCTTCAAAGAACTCTATGGAGTTTTTGTAAAGATCAAAAAAGTGTTCCTTACTTTCCTTTGTGGGACTAAAAGCACCACGGGAGCCTGTGGTGCTTCTGCTTTTAACTGGCAACCGGGATGAAAATACCTTCGATCTTGCTGTTGTTGCCTCATCTGAGTCTAGCTCAAAGTTCAGCTCGCTCTCCCTCTCTGCTTCTGCCTCAGCATAACTCCTAGCTTTGACTGAGTGTTTAGTCTTTGGGTCCACGGGACTACTCGCGTCAGATTCCGATTTGCTCCGGTTCTCTTGTTTCATGGGTGCCACGCTTGTCACGTCGAGAGCTTTGGGGGACTCTAGCCTGTGGACAGGCATGTCTGAGTATGTGTATTGTGGCTCAGCTTTTTGGAAAGCAGTTTTGACAGGAATTTTAGACTTTGGTTTTGCTTGGTCATCTTTTCCTTCACACTGCAAACCATCCGGGCAGTCATCTGGGGAAAGGCTCTCATTTTCTGGTTGCTGGGAGGGTTGTGACACAACGGCAGCTGTTCTCACAGGGATTTTGGATTTGCTTTCACAAGAAGGCACGTTCTCCATTGGAGCAGTGGGGATTTCAATCACAGATCTCTGTTCCTCTGGGGAGGAGTCTGGGGACTCCTCACCCTGATCAGAACTAACTGATCTAGTGACTTTGGAAAACTCTACTTCATCTTCTACCACACACTGCTCAGGAGAGATGGGGCAAGGCACCTGACTGCTATCAACTGTGTCAGTCTCCATTCTGGGCTCAGCTTCAGAGGCAGCAGTTTCTTTCTTTGGTGATTTTGAAGAAGCTGAAATGCCCATTTTAATTGGAATTCTGGATTTAAGATCTGCTTTTGAGGTGCCTGTGCCGACACCTTCACCTGTCATTTCTTCTGAGTTATCGCTAGGCTCGGGCGATAGGGGTGAATATTTCAATGTATCTTTCCCTTGTATATCTGACTCCTCTGATTCTGAAGGTGCAAATGGGTCTGGTGAGTCCACCAGCTTTGAAGATTCCTCCTCTGCTGCTTCTTTCCCTTCCTCAGATAATGAAACTTCTTCCTGAGGCTCCTGCCCCATCTGGAAGAAGTGAAAGTTTTCATCCTGGTAGTTCCTTTTTGTCATGTCAATGGCTCCACTCCTAGTCATCTCAAATAACTTGCCTTCCTGAAAGAGAAAAGGATTTTGCTCACTGAGTGGTGTCCCTTCTTCGGTGGGTGTCCTGGCTGGTGTGGTATCAGGGGTTGTGCCTTGTGAGCGCCTGTCTACCATCAACCCAAATATCTTTTGTTCCTCTTCTTTCACCCGAGCTTCAAAGGCTTCATCATCTTCACGTATTTCACTCCACATGTCAGAATCCACATCGGTTTTAGTGATGACAACTCGACCCATGAATTTATCTGTTTCATCTCTTATATCCTCAAGGGCAGATTCAGCTAACTTGATGGAGTCTGAGGCCAAAGACCCTTGTGACATTGTCTGACATCCATCCTCTGGTTTGGGCTCTATTTCCATATACACTTCCTCTGAAGAGTGATATTCACTACCTGTGTCTCTGCTAAGTAAAGTTTCACCAGTCTGATCTTTCCCTTCTGCAATAGAATAGGTTTCCCTAGATAACACAGTTCTGCCAGCTCCTACCTCACTTTCAGAGTCAATAAAGAAATGTCCAGAAGACACATTTTCATAAGGGCTTACTATATGTGGATCATTACTGTCAGCAGCATCTGCTGCACAACTCTCAAGTTCCACTGTTTCAGTGGTAAGGGATGAATACCCTGGCAAAGGTTCCTCAGCACGACTGTCTCTTTCTGATGTTTCAAAACCTGCATCTGCTTTTCCTGAATCCCTTCCCAAAGCAGAATGGTCAGTGGTATCATCTTCAGCCAGTTTGCCATCTTGTGGTACAGAGTACTCGGTAGTACTGTGCCCACAAGAGAGACCATCTACCTTCTCAGACACAGCTCCTGTAGAAGCGAGATCTATGTGTGTTAATGAGGCCACAGGTTTGACAACTTTTTCAGTAGCATCGCATTGCTCAAGAGTTAGCGAAGACTCAACGTGAACTTCTTTCTGAGACCTGTCACCCACGGAGTGACAGAGAGTACCCCCAGATGGTGTGACCAGGGCATCAGGACTGACTGTCTCGCAGTCATCTGTACCATCACACCACTTTGATTCAGCAGTTTCTGCTGATGCACACCCATTGGAATGACAAGTGCCTGATCCTCCTGTGGAAGCCTTACAGCTGCGCCCAAGGACAAGTGGTTCCTCTTTGTCACCTTTGCCTTCTGCTTTAACTGCACCTATCCCGACAGAGCACTGCTGGGAATCAATGGGGTGGAAACCTGCTTCGTCGGGGCTAGAGCTGGAGTCGATGCTGGATGGTAAAGGTGAGGGTGGCTGCACTCGGATCACAGGCTCCATTAAGAGGCCTGAGTCTGCTTCTTTTTTGAGCTGAGTCAATTCCGGCTCACTTTCAGAAGAGGAAGAATTCTTTCTAGACTCAGCTGCAGGTGTCACCACTGTAGGAATATCTTTTTCTCCTACAGCTGTTGGCTCTTGTGTTTCACCTTCACATGCAGCCTCTGAATTGGCAGCTACAGAGGAGTCATCTTGCTTACGATGCTTTTTGTGATCTCTCTTCTTTTTTGCCTCTTGTTCCAACTCATCAAACATCTTGATTTTGGTCACCATTTTAAACATCTCCTCTTCGGGGGTGAATCTCTTCTTTGGTTCACTTTCTGAATCGTCCTCTGCTTCTTCATTGACTTCAGGGATTGTGGCTGACTTTGGGATGTTTGACAGTGCCTGTGAGTCTGCTGTTTTAGGTGTGATTTCATAGCTAATTTCTTCAGAACTAGGAGTTTCGGGGGAAACAGGACTTTTCCCCGAACTCTCCATGAGGGATGTTTGCTCTAGACTGTCATCATCGGCACTTCCCTCAGGGTCACGGAGAATCCTGGAACGCACTGATGCCAGCTCTGGGCAGGCTTCTCCTTTGCTAAGAACAGACTGAAGAGGACCCTGCCCCAAAATACAAGCCTTCACTGTTTGTTCTACGGGGCTGCTTTCAAGGGAATCGCGGCAGGGAGACTCTTTCATAGGACTGGGCTCCAAAGAGTCGGGCGTTTTGTGTGATGAGTTATCTTCTAGCACTGGACTTGCTTCCAGGGAGTCTTTATGACTTATAGTCAAAGAGTCATCTGCAACTGGGCTAAAGCTTTCACTATCATGGCTAGCAAGTGAAAGTTCCAATTTCTGGGGACTTCTAACCGCAACACGGCGTTCACAGGTTATATCTTTTTCTTTCTCTAAAGCAGTGTCATGTGTTTCAGAAGACTTAGTGAAATGTGCAGTGGTTCTGGATTCTTTATCCCTGCTAATATCTTTCATAATGGAAGCTGAGCTACTTTCTTTAGGTTTATCAGCCTCTTCTTCAGAGGCTGTAGGTACATGCTCTTCTGATACATGGTCAGAACGAGACTTACTAGTCTCAGTAACTGCATCTAGCTGTCTCTCAGTAATACCTTTTTCATCTTCCTTTGAGGAGAGTTCCTTCGGAGAACATGTTTCTGCTGTTGTGTGTGCTCTAGCCGCTCCTTTATCTTCTTCAATTTGCCCATTGGTTTTCTTTGGTGAGAATGAAAGGCTTTCTGGGCTCGTTTCTGGAGTCTCTGCCAGACCCTCGTGCTTGTAACTTTCCTCAGAGCTGATCTGAGGGGTTCCATCAAGTAGGCTGCCTGGTGTAGCCACACCTTCATGTTTAAGGCTCTCTGAGCTCCCTTCAAAAGCAGCACTTTGCAGAGAAAGAGCAGGAAGGAATTCATCTTTCCCGTACTCTGTGGGACAAGCAACACCGAAAGGACTGGTGATTACTTGCTCCAAGTTCAGTTCTCCATCCTCTGTCACTGAAAGGTGCCGGAACTGTTGGTATTTGTCATTGTCCTCCAGTTCTTCTTTAATGACATCAGAAAAGTCTGTTGAGGTTTTTCTGTCAGGGCTGATCTGGAAGTCAGGATCTCCATGGTCATCAGAAGTCCTGCCCTTTCCAGCTGCTGTTTCTTTGGCACTTTGATCAATTATGACTGGAGGGAGAGGCTCGGTTGGCTTTTTGCTGCTCTGCTCTTTTGCCTGGTCTTTACCACCAGCTTTCTTGCTAGTTTCAGTGCTAGAAATTTGTGTTTTTCCTTTCTTAGACTGTGGCTCTTTCTCTGCTTTTGATACTGTGCTGGGTTTGTCCTTTTGTTTGTCTGTCTTGAGGCTTGAGACTCGCCTCGTTTCACTCTGCGAAGGAACTGCTTTCCTCCGTGTTGTTTCTTTCTCGGGGGTCTGTTGCTTCTGTTTGACAGATTTGTGCTCGAACAGTCCAGAGATGTTCTTGGACGGGTCTTGGCCCGACTGGAAGGCTTTCATCAGTTCCCGAACTGACATGGTCTCTTCAAGCCTCTCTGTCTTTGAAGAAGGTGAGACAGGTGGTTGGGCTTTCTGTGCTACTGGTTTTTTGGCTTGGGTTGTTTTTTTAGGAGCCTTTTCAGCAGGGCTTTCTTTGCCTTGCACTCTGACAGGTAGTTTAGACCGTACTTTTTGCTCATCTTCCACTCGTTTCTGAAGGGCTTTCACCTTGTCTTTGATTGAGCCAATGGGGGTTTCCTCTATAACAGGGGACACGGCTTTAGCCTCTGGAGCAGGTGTCACCTTCAAGCCAGATTCCCCAGCCGGTGACTCATCTGCGGTTGAAGCAGTGAGCTTCGGTAGCCTCAGTTTCTCTCCACTGCTGTGTGCCTTGACTTCCTTTGGCTTTGGCTTCTCTTTCAATTTTGTCCTAAGAGGCTTTTTAACCTCTGAGGCTGGTTTGTGTTGCTCCTGTGAGCTTTGTTTGCCAGTCTTTGGAGATTCTTTTCCTCCTTTTTCAGATTCCCTGCTTATTACCACAGCTTCAAATTTCTCTCCTGCTAAGTCCTCTTGTAAGGTGTGTGGTTCTATGTCATGAAGAGAAACGTATGATTTTGAATCCTCTGCAGGGCGATCTACCTTCCCTGTCATGCCTGGCTTCCCTTTTTTGGTTGTCCCTTTGCCTACCCTGACTTCTGCAGAGGTTTTCTCCGTGACTTCTGAAGGAGCATTCCTTCTGGCCTCTTCAATTTCTTCATCACTGACAATGATCCATTCTTCTTCTATGGGTTCTTGTTTGGACTTCTGCAAAACATGTTCTCTGGGATATGATCCACCTCTCAGAATTTCATTGACTTTTTCTAAGTCCTCTTTCACTCTTTCAACTATTTCAAAAGGCTCTCCTGGCTCATCTTCAGCATTTTTCCCAAGATCTTTGACTTTAATGGAGCCTGATTTGTCAGAAGGGTCAGTTGTCAGGATGGCAGTCATTTTGATCAAGTCTTGTTTCATCTCAGAAACTTCAGACAACAGGTCTGGACTGGCTAGCACTGGGACTTCATTAACCAGATGGCTTTTCAGGATAGATGTTTCTGTAGATTCTGTCTCGTCATCTTTGATGCCAATGAAAAACATTGAAAGTAAAATGGAAATCAAAAATAGAGATTGGAAAATGTAATCAGGACTGAAAATGACAGTCTTTGGTTGCAGTGGTAGGAAGGTGAACAAAATGGGCCGGGAATGGTGGATCCACAAGATCTGAGGGTACAAGAGCAAAGCAAAGCTAACGGGGGAAAAAAAACCAACTGAAAAGGAAAATGGCAGGAAATAACTTGCTTAACTTTTTCGCTAGAGCACAACCACACATACAGTATCAAAGCTGGAACAAACCAAATCAGGACACCACTGAAAATAAACCAAAACAACAACAACAAAATCTCAAATCAAAACCAGAAGAAACACAGTGAAGTTACACAAAGAGAGGCATCTCAAGATTGTTCAGATGTTACAGATCAATGTACAAACAAAAAGAAAAACCAGAAAAAAGGGGGAAAGCATTAGAACTGATTGAAAGTCGATTTCCTCTAAGAGAAAGCCAGTGTTAGCAAACTGTCAGAATAACAGGGGGTTAACAGTTTTGTTTTTCTTAGTGACCAAAATAAAAGGTGAAAAGGAATTCTGCAGTAATCTAAAATGTGATCGAATCCGTAGAGATCTGAATCAGCTGCAAACCGGCATTTCATCTAAGGGGATCTCACACCTACACAATGAAACAAACAAGTCTTTGGTTTTAAGAGGCATGGTCCTTTCCTTGGAACATCCTCATTGACAACTAATGAACTGACTGAGGAAAGAGAAGACAGAGAAGAAAAGGAGAGATAATAAGAAAAAACTGTGAATCAACTTAGAAGTGATTTCAGAGTTTTAAAAAATGTAATGTATGGCAAACCCAAAGTCACAGACAGTCACGCTAGACACACACGTACAGTCCATGTAAGGCAAGTTATTTCCATGCAAAGCAAAGGTGTTGCAAATGCTGCTGGGTATGTAGCTTTGGTTAAAAAACAAGAGCTCTACAAATTAATCCTAGAAATCAAAGGTACATGAAAGTATTGTCAAAACATACTGTGGTGAAATATTGGTCTGATCTGGCAAGTGTTACACAGGTAGTTCCCCTTGTGCCACTGCTGCCTGCTGGGAGTGCTTCGTGTCAGCAAGGACTGGTAGGAAATGGATGCTGAACAGAATGGAAGAGTGGAGGACTGAAGCAAGTTATGAACAGAATGCAATGCTTAGTAATTACAGCAGGACATTTTGCTTTTCAGGCTAGCACTTCACACAGAAATGCACATTTTGGCACCCCAGTCTCAAAGCACTAATAAAGAAAACCTAGGCAGGACATAACTAGCTGTATTTCTCTGTGAAAAACATCCATTTTGCTCTGCTATTCTCTTGGGTGCAATGAATGCTAAATGTTTGTGCTGTACATTAATTATAACCAGAAAATGTGGCCTTTTGGTGCTGCTGTTTTGGTGTGAACTGTCCAGAAAATATTTAAATGCTAGTCAGTAATTTCACAGCTTTGTAAGACTCATAAATATCAAATGTAGGACTCTCTCACTGGCCAAAGAACTGAGTTAATTAGCCTGAAACAAAGCAGCTCCAGGGGGAAATAAAGTGCCAGCACAAACAGCATGTGGCTAGCAGCAACACTCCCTGGGGCTCTCTGTGGCCTCAGCAGTCAGCAGCGAGGAAAGCAGTGGTAGAACAACACAGGACATTGCACTTTAGCTGGAAACAAGGCAAGACATTGCAGTTCAAACTGGAAACAAGACAGATGTAATTCTTTTCCTGGAGAGAGCCAAGAAATGGCTGAATCTGAAAACAGCTCTTATTAGAGACACTCTTCAGTGGGTAGATAGTGGTTTGATTTGCAGCTTCTGTAAAGGAGATCTCTGTGAATCCCTTGCCCTCGGTTTCTAACAGTCACAGCCTGAATCTGTATGCGCAGAGGCTCCATGTGCTGTGCCAAGCTTTGCAGTCAGATTTCCAGTCATATTTCACCACAGTAAAGGGCAGGGAGGGAGGGGGAGGGTTAAACAGCCTGATCACTTTGGACAGTATCACTTTTTGGCGTGGCTATATTCCATGGGAGCAATGAAATATATTGGAGTCTTTGTTGGGTTTTCATTAAAAGTGATACTGTCATCTGTCTCAACCATGAGGCACCAATGTGTGGAGAAAACAAATGGAGGAAACAAAAAAAGAATGGAGGGATGAGCATTCATACAAGCAAAATAGCAGTAGCAGGATCACTAGGGATGTTAAAGGAAAGTAAATGCTTAGATGAACGGTTTTAAACTGCATTACTGGTTAATTCATCAGTTAAAACATATTTAATTGTATAGCTGCTTTGATATTAAATTGCTTTCTATTAAGTTTTTAAAGTATCGATGTTATTAGCAATAGCAGTTACAGCTTAGCTCTGTCATGCTTATCTTTACTCTTAGCCATCTTTCATACAAACTGCACTGTATCATTTGTCAAGAAAAAAAATAAAATCTTACTTTTTTCGGAAGTCATATCAACCTGGAAGAGAAAAACAGAGGGAAATTTAAAAAGTTCAAATATAATTGACATACAGAAGTCACTAGTGAAGGCAAAGCTAATAGGTGTATGGAGACTCACAGATTCAGGGACTTAAACGGAACCAAGAATGAGTTTAAAATAACAACAAAAGTGAGACTTAAATTATTTCGTATCTCTAACAACAGAAAAATGGTTACTTTGCTATAGTTATGGTCAATGGTGGATGCAAAACAGTGCAATGTATTTTCCTTAAACGCAGTGTGGAGGGCCCAGGCTTCTGCATTTCTGGCTATTTTAAAGTTTAAGGGTTGGAATGGACCTTACAGATGATCTAGTCCCAATTTTGGTGCATTGTGCTTCATTATTTCTTCCTGTCTAAAGCAAAATACTCCACTATGGCTACCTGAAGGCACGTGGTCCATCTGGAAGACAACCACTGTGCTTTGCACATTGTGTTTCACTGTCCACATTCATTCTGAGAGCATGGCTTGCATTTTTGCCCCTGCAGTTGGTGCACAAACAGCAGAACTGCTGCTGCCCAAGGCAAGGACCAGGGCTGGGTGCCACTAATAGCTATCGACACCTCCAAATGGAAGCAGCGATGGCCACTCTTTGATTTTTCAGTGTATTTGGGTCCAGAACGAAAAAAATCACACAAATATACTGTTGCTCAAAAGAAAACATAGTCCTTGCTAAAAAGACCCACAACATTAAACAAAATCCAATGTCAGGCTGAAAATTTAAGAGGCAAATTTCTGAGGTTGCCTTGTAACTTGAATTTAGTTCAGTTCTGCTAGCACAATCTTTTGTCCACACAAGCACATGCTGTGTAAATTTGGCTATGCAAAGTTAGAAACAGCATTGAACATTTAATTTCCTATACAAACTTGTGGTGGGGGAAGGAGGACTGGGAGGAATGCAAATGAGCTGTGCAGTACTGCTGATGCAAGGTATGGTGTGTGTTAAAATCCCTGAGCCTTTTAGTGAGTACTGAAAAGGTTTCACTTGTTTGAAATATTCTTCATAAAGTTAAATGCAATATATTCACTAGATTCCAAAAGTGAACCTGTGCAAGAGCCTTTCAGTGCACTGCTCTTGGCTGTGTTTGTGGCACTGAGCTGAGGATCCACGTGCCTGTTCCACTACAGATTTCTCTGCTGAGTTATGTCTGTCACTTGGGTTTGAGTAGTGTGTGTAGGCAAGAACATGTTGAGTTAGCAACGTTACCTCTTCTGGTTCTTGATCTGAATCTGATTCCTTTCAGTTCCAAAATGCCGTGCAGGAAGAGAAGGGGAAAACAGAGCAGGCAAAATGCAAATTTTTTTAGAAGACATGAAGAAAAAGAAATTTCTGACAACATTTAACAGAAAAGAAGAAAATGCAGCATGTTTCTGCAATTGATTCCTTACGTCAAAAAGCAACAAAACTAAACTCTGCTTGAAACACAGAAAACAAATCACAAACAGAAAAGTTGCTTCTGGAGGTAGACTTCTACTGCTCCTTATTTGTACCAAAACTTTAAATACATACCTGCTTTTTTTCACCCAAAATTAGCATGAGTAAATACTTAAAATACTTCAGAACATTACCCATTTAAAGGTAAAATATGTTGAGCTGTGCTACTTTAAAATGATCCAAAAGTGCTATATAAAGATTATATTACATTCTAGAAGTGCTGAGAAAAAATGAACAGCAGCAGGGGCAACAGCCTCATACACCCCTAAAAGGTAGGCAGCTCCTAATCTGACCAGGAGAGGGAAAAATCTGTGTTTTCACAGAATAAACTGACTCTTTCTAAGGAAACAAGTGCCCTATATCTGATCTTGCTTAAAGAGTAATTGAAGGCACTCCCACTCATCCCTTTTGAGTCCCTCAAAAAATATCTGGTGACATGCTCAAACACTAACATCGGGAGTACCAATCCCAAGACACTCAAAGCCCTTGGGTGAAATTTATTCCCCTTGAAAAATCCCTGACCACAAAGCTTTAACCATGTTTTACCCTCCTCCTTGATTCTTGCCTGCACTGTAATGCTGATCATGATAATTCCACAGTACCTTTGTGTAAATGGGCAAAGTGATGTTTAAGTTACATATGGCTTGGTGAACGAGGCCTCTTGTAGACTTTGGCTCCTTCATGAACGATAATCTCCCACAGGGCTCCTGAGTGCTGTCTCGCACCTGGCAGAGCAAACACAGACATTTCAGCTCTTCGCCGGCTCTTTTGCTGCATCATCTACTTGTGCCTCTCAAAACTATTTAGAGGAGAGGTTAAAAGAGGGAGAAAAAGTCCAGCTACGCAAAAATAACGTTTTCTCTTTTTTTCCCTCCTGCTGTTTGTAAAGGTACATATGGGTGTATTTGTGTATTGGAAAATCCAGCATGGAGGAAAATATGCAAAGTCAAAGGTAGGCGGTAGCATAAAGCTGTTAATGAAAAGAAACTTACAAAATATTGCTGGAAAGGAGGGAGGAACTTTACAATTTGTCTACAAATTTAATACAGCGAGGGAATGGGTGGATCTTCTCTACTTTTTACGAGGTTTCTTTCATAAGACATTTCTCTGTTTTATGTAATGGTAACAGGATGTCCAGGTGAAAGGAAAAGCTTGTGGGAGGTTTGCAGTGCCCTCTAATCTCCCTCTCCAGAAGAGAAGGTGCTGGTGGCTTGGTGCTTGCAGCCCTCCATGGCCACAGCAGTCACTGGCTCTACAGCTAGGCCTAAAGTATTTGTTAATCTTGGAGAAACAGAAGATTTTTGGTTTGATTTTTGTTCAACAAACTTTTCTACTCACCAAAAAGTGATAAAAAAGGATAAAATTAGGTTGGGAATTTAGCTAAATGAATAATTTCCTTTTCCCTTTGTTCACAAAAATACAGTGAAACAAAAGCTTGAAACACCCAAGAAGGAGCCATTAACATTACCTTAACGAACAGAGGAAGTCTGTTCTCTTTGAAGGCAAAGAAACTGAATATATGGTGCTGCCCACTCTTTGTAAGGGGCACCAAATTGCCAAAGCAGTCAACATAGATGGGTTTTCCTTCTAATACCTGTGGGAAAGGGAAAAGAAGTTGAGCAGTAATTCATCCCTGTGAGGTGGTTAGGATTTCTTCTTAAACATGATGCTATTCTGGGTTCAGTCAACCTCTGGAATTGCTAGAGCTTGTCAGCATTTACAAGATTTGTTGTGTACAGTGACCTAAAGTGTGTGGAAACACTTCAGAGTACTGAATTCCAAATGGAATAGATTGATAACTTAATAGCAACAGCATGGCACCGTAAATGGCAAAATGAGTATTCAGTGACATGAATCCGGGTGAATTCTTAATCTACATTTTAATTTGGTTTTTTTATTGGCTCTAATTTTAGAATCCTTTGCTAACTTGGCCTTATCATCACAGTCCAAGGAGTATTTTCTTCAGCAATCAAATCCAAAGTCAAAGACAGTGTTTACCAGTAGAATCTATTGATTTCAGCTTGATTTGTAAAGGTCTAGAGCTTTTGAAAGTCAGGCCTTGAGTAAACACCTCTCTGAAATCCCTGTGTCTTCAGGTTGCTCTTGTTATGGCTTCTCCAGATGTTTAAATATCAGATCAACAGTTCTGGAGATGTTCCCTTCAAACTGCCAATGCATTAATGTCTCACCCTTCTTCCCCAGAAATCCAGCCTTGCCATTCAGTTTGATAAACCCATATTTTATCTCTGCACCAGAAATGCCTGTCAGAGCTCCAGGAACAGCAAGGATACATTTCTCAAGGTGGGATTCTCATGAAAAAGAGACTGAACTAAGCAGAAGAATATGCTATGCATGTAAGTTAAGGCATTTCCCATTTGTCATCCCTTCTGAGGAAGCTGACAGAGCCAGAAAAACTGCATTTTGCAGGCAGTTTGCTGAATTCCACATAGGAAAATTTTTGCCTGTTCAGCAACAGATTTAATTCAATTTTAGCTTTGTAAAGCACAGTATTAACTGCCAGTTTAACTCCTTGGTATGCAAAGGTGCTGACAAAGAGATTCACAAAGGCCTTTCTGGTTTAATGGAGTTACTGGCGGTTGGGATTTACCTGTCCTTTTCGGCTCTATCTCCCCTGAGCCCTCTGGATTGAGAGTTTAGCAATTTCCCACTAGGAATAGGGTTTCTTCACTACTTTTCCCTCACATCTGACAAAGTTCCCATCTTACCGTGATGGCTGGTACTGCACCATGACAGTACTTGTTGGCACTATTACTTTTCAGTACTTGTGGCAGATAGAAGGCAGAAAATATACACTAAAAAAGACACTAGAAGATGGAGAAAACTTTAAGAGTCTTGCACAGTACCTCTACATCCCTGCTTCGGGCAACTTCAGCAAAATTCTCTTGTTGCTCCAGGGTTTTATCCACCTTGTCGTCCGTCATGCAGAAGCACCTTAACCGCGCCTCGATGGGATCGTGGGATTTGGCAAACACCACAAATTTGGCCATGTAAGGGACACAGATAATCTCTCTGTACACTTGGGAAGCAAAAGCAACAGATTCTTGTGTCTGTCGACAGTCTATCAACCAAAATCTGGAAAACAGAATGAAGAGTTGTGTGAGCAGCACAGAAAAGTTTAAGGAAGGAAGCTTTATGTTTCCCCATCGTGGCAGCATTAGCTGATAACCACAGCATTTGTGTATGGGAAGAATAGAGTATAAAAAAAAGCAGCTGAGCTTGGGTTTTTGTCTGCTATCCTACTTAGAGGTTAGCAGGACATTTTTTACATACAATATCAAAACCTGAGGGTGAATGCAAATGATTTGTGCACTGTGTAGTGCTGCAAAATCAGAAAAGATTCCTATGTGAATTTAGCCACCAAGCATTTCCCAAGGAGTAACACATACTGCCTTCCTTCCCAGCTATCCCTTCAACTTCTCTGCAGAGCTGATGACACTTCCTTTAAACAAACCCCACTGTGTGGGTGGACAGCATGCTCGGGTTTCACACCCGTGGGATGGAGATGGAAGTCATGAGAGGTCAGAGCCAGCTCCAAAGCTGATGTAAGCTCCAGGGGGTTTATTCCTTACTGTGGATTACATGGCATTGTAACCCCCAAAGCACACCTCTGAGTGTGACTGCTCTGGGCTTACTCATCTGCAGCTGAATAATAGCCAATTTCCCGCTGTGCTGATCTTTAAGAACAGTTAACTAACATCCTGGTCAGAAAACCAGGCTGATGACATTCCAAAGAGAGAAATCCTGTTTGGTACAGAAAGGCTCTGCACACTGATACTTTCCTTTTGCTGCGTGGGAGAACTGTGCTGTGCAGGACTCAGACTGGAGAGGCTACATCCTCTGAGAAGCCACCAGATGCTCAAGTGATTTGCTGCCATACACCAGGGGCTAGAAAGCTCAAACAGATCCTAAAGCTTTTAAAAGCTGCAGCTCAGGAAATGGAAAACAAACAGCTATGCCTCAAAGTCTGCACTGTAATTCACATGACAAACGTATCTCTTTCCCAAGCTCATTTTGGACACAGTTAGGCTTACGAATGGGAAATCTGTTGTCCATCATTTAACCAGATTTAACTAGACATGAAGAAATTACTGAGAATAGCAAACAGTCAGGAACCAGCTGATTCTCAGCAAGGCACAAGGGCAGAGGCACTTTTAGACCAGGGCATGAGTGGAGAAATTCAGGTTAGCTTGCCCTTTTGCAAAGAAGTTAATTCTCTGACTGGAAATACATGAAAAATCCCATTTTCTAACCTTGCCAGCATTTAGAATGATGTTTGGGGCCAAGCAGACAGTTGCACATTCCTAAAACATTCACAAAAAGAAGAGGTAGAACCCATTAAAATCTCTAATTGGACTTTACCTGTATCACAGAACATCAGCAGAACCAAGGCCAGGCTGGATGAAGCCTTGAGCAATCTGCTCTGGTGGGAGGTGTCCCTGCCCAGGGCAGGGGGTTGGGACTAGATGATCTTTCAGGTCCATCCCAACCCCTTAACATTTGATGATTCTATGATTAGCAATAGCAATCAATTTTCAGGTCACCCTCAGGATTAGGAAAGATCCACTCATTACTGATATGGATTATAGATCCATATAGTGTCACCCTCATTCTGGCTGTGTAGTCCTGCTGGGGATGTCACACTTGTAGGCACTTGACCTCTCACATTCTGCACCTAGTGTCCACATGTGCTTCTTGAATTCACCTTGACCTTCTACCTTTACACGTGGCTGCAGGTAGCAGCTGAGAGCTAGAGGCACTGTGAGATCCTCTCGTGGTCACTGCTGCTGTGAACCAAAAAGCTGAACCAAAAAGGAATGTACAGCAGCAAAGCATCCAAATTAATGGGGGGAAAAGCCCTTTCTGAGCTGAAAGAGTATAATAAAAATGCACTTCATTTTGCCTAATGTTAGAGTAGAGGTTGGAGTGCAAAAGCTGATCCTATTTTAACACTGAATACATCATTTCAGTAAACAACAAACCTAACCTAATACTAATAACTTCCCTGGATGCTGAATACTTGCACTGAATTCATGGATTTCATGGGCAAATCAGCCAAGAATTTTTTTTAAACTGTTTGCTAGACCTAAACTGAATACTTTCCAGGTCATGGACTGTACCTCCTGTTAGAGAGTAGGAGATTTTTTTGTGCATTTCTGTGACATAAATCATGGCCAGGACACAAACTAAAGTATATATACATATCTATAACTATTTTTTACATGAAATTCTGTTTTCAGACCAGCAGTGGCTGAATCTCATCACAAGAACAGGTGGTTGGGAGAGCTGCTTCTAGATCCCAGTTTGGTACACCTACAGGCCCTTTCTGCATGGTAGGATATTCTGGAAGTAACATCATTTATAAGCTGTATAATGAGCTACCCAAACAAGGGATTTCTGTTTCCATGGGGATTTGCGTAGTAAGAAATATCTCTGTTCCTTCTACTATATAAACCAAAAGAGTTTAAAGGAAACAGTTGTGGAAAAAGAGATATGCACTTGAAAGTGTCTCTGGAAAGCTCATGTTTGTTGTGTAGGTACCTGGCAGACACATTTGTTGTGAAGGAAACACATTCATTAACAAATGTCAGTGGTGTTGTCCCAGTGATGTCTTCCCATTGGGCAGGGGTGGTTCCTCCTGAAATGAGAGGTTGAAAACACAACTAACACCAAGCAAATCTGCAACTGTTTTGTTTCTATGAAATATTTTACATTCTTCTGAGTTTTGAGGTGCTATGAAACCAGCAATAATCCCAGACAGGTCTTCTCCTGGGTGTACATTATTCCACTAATGCTATAGCAGAAACCATTAATCGATGGATGTACCCTGAGAAAACCAAGTGGCCAAATCATTTTCAACTGCTGAGTCCTGTAGCACATGATTAAATTAATGAAATACGTGCCACTCATTTCTGCCTCTCAAGTGCAACTGAATGAGGCACTAGTCATTTTGGATTTATAGCAACTACCAAGGGTTAACCCCTAACAATTTCCTCCTAAGCACACTGCAATACTGAGTCTGTACTACACTTGTACGCTGCTCCTCAAGAAACAAACTGTAAAGAAAATGCAAAAAACCCCACCAAACCCTAAGTCTGTGATTAGATTACACATCTCTTGTTAGTCTAAACAACAAATGTTATTTCTACTATTAAGTAATTGTTTGGAAAGTAGTTTATTTTTACAGCTTCTCATCCCAGTCAGGTTTTCACTAAGCTTCCCACGTGTGGAATCAGCTTAACGTTTTCAGCCCATAAGGCCTGACAGCTTCAAGATCCACACAAGAAGCTCTGAGATTGGCATCCTACCTGTTATGCTGCATAGTAACCTCAGGGTGGGTGTGTCGCCTCCATAGCCGTTCATGATGCCGTCGCTGGAGGCCTTGGGGACAGGAATCGTCATGGTGATGGGTTTATGGAACTTCCTCCTCCTGGGCTCCAGGGTGACTATGGGGCTGAAGGTAGCCTTGTTGCCTAAAATCTTCTTTGTAAGTTCAGTGTGCATAGGTTGAGCCTTTGCCAAGCAACAGAAAATAACAGAAGAGTTACTTGGAAACAATTTGGGGAGTATGTAAAGAACTGAGCCCGGATATTGCCACAAAATCCTTCAGTTGTCAGACTAAATGGTAGTCTAAAATGGCAGTCTAGTTTCATGGGTTTTCCCACAAAAATCTGCAGAGGAACTGACTACCAGTGAGAAGGAGAGACCTCCTTTTCCCAACTTTCCCACACCTTCCTCCTCTTCCTATCTCCTTTCTCGGTGCTTGTCAGACCTTTCCAGCATTATTTTAATTCATTTAACCAGTAGCAAATAATGCCCTCATCAGGTTTTTTTCCCCCTTAGAACAAGATCTGAGTTGTTTCAGTGTGCTCTTCAGTTAATCCCAGGGGATTTCAACAAGCAGTTTCCTGACCAAGGTTAAGCTGAGGATAAGTGCAGCAGGACAGGGTGGAGACAAGGGAAAGACTTCTCACTCTTTCAGGAGTGAATTCTTAGGCTGGTTCCTTCACACTGAGAACATCTGACCTAATGATTGCAGCACTTTGCACTTCTCTGATGCCTTTCATAGGAAGTGTTTAAGATAAACGGTTCTAGGAGCTACACTAATATCATAATCATCGCCAAAATTAGGTGCTTTTCCCAAGACCATATAGGAATCAACCAGGATTGACAGAAACCTGAATTAACTGGAAAATCCAAAGCTTTACCACTAGGTTTTGATTTTTGCATGGATATTTTTATTACTACTTTTACGGGAAGCATTGGAGAAAACAAGCAAGAGGAGAAGCTGAAGATGCTGCTCTCCATGCAAAGGAGGGGATTTCACACTAAAGAACCTATGATGTTTTCACTGTACCTGGAGGCCAACACGAATCCGTTTGGTGAGAGCCCCCTCTGGGAAGACTGCCTGCACTTGTGGGACCACCGTGCTGCTCAGCACCCCTCCCTCAGGACCAATGAGGTTGCTGTCCTGCTTGATCCGAGATACCACTGCGAAGTACTGAGGGAAATCCCTGGTGATGATGCGGCAGATCCGTTTCTTCTCAAGCTCCTCTGGAGTGTCCAGTACTAAGACCAAGAGAGGAGATGGTCAGAAGACAAGAGTTTTGTAGAAACCATACAGCAAACTTCAAAATGCATCATGATTTTCACAGTGTGACTGCAAGTTACACAAAGTATTGTGTCTGGAGGGGGAAAGGAAACAGAGAGACAGAACAAATAACTGAAGGGAGCTGAAGACAGCAAACAGAACATGTTGACATCTCCAAAATCAGCAGCCAAACAAGCAAAGGGATTGGTTTGAGCCCCTGTTTACTTCACATATTTACAATGTACTGGAGCAGCACCAAGGAAATGAAACTCCAAGTATCAAAGTATGAGTTCAGCTTTAATTCTCTGAGTTGGGTTGTTTACCTTGTTTGGGATTTTGTTTCTGGTAAAAATATCCATCAAAATTAATAACAAATTCTGCAGCTCCCTAGACAGCCCAAGGCCATTCTGTTCTTTCAGAAAGCAAGAGTACCCATGACTGACATTTCCTCCCACACGTGGAGCTGCTTGGAAAGGATCAGGATGATAATTGTCTTGTTTTGGAAAGATGTTTGCTAGGGAAGCTTTGTGTTTAACACAATGAAAAGGAGCAGCAGAAAACACAAGTCTAGCATCTACTGTCAACTTCGTGATGGGAGGTTTGGTTTAGTCCCACCCCTTGGAAGTCAGCACCAGTACACAGTGCGGCTGCTGGCTCCTTTATGGAGAATCACAGAATTTAAGGGTTGGAATGGACCTTACAGATCATCTAGTCCCAACCCCCTGCCCTGGGGATGGACACCTCCTCACTAGATCAGGTTGCTCAAGGCCTCATCCAGCCTGGCCTTGAACACCGCCAGGGCAGAGGAAGCCACCACGTCCCTGGGCAACCTGTGCCAGTGTCTCATCACTTTTAGAGTAAAAAACTTTTTTCTAATACCCAACCTAGACTTTCGCTCCTTCGGTTTGAACCCATTACCCTTTGTCCTATCACTGCAGTTCCTAACACAGAGTCCCTCTCTGGCTCCTTGTAGGCCCTTCAGATATTGAAAAGTTGCTCTGAGGTCTCCATGCAGTCCTCTCCAGGCTGAACAGCCCGAACTCTCTCAGCCTGTCCTTGTAGGGGAGATGCTCCAGTCCTCTTTGCAACTTTGTGGCATCCTCTGGACTTGCTCCAACAGTTCCATGTCCTTCTTATGTTGAGGACACCAGAACTGTGTGCAGTATTCCAGGTGGGTCTCATGAGAGCAGAGTAGAGGGGAAGAATCACCTCTTTTGATCTGTTAGCCACATTCCAAAGGTGATTATGCTCCAGCATGGCTCAAAATGATGTCTCTGGAGAATGTAGTGCCACAGAATCACAGGTGGAGCAAAGGTGAGGTGCTAAACAGAAGGACTGGTAAAAATATTACCCCCAGGTAGAGGATAAAATCCAAAGTGCCAGTGGATACCTTCATCCATGCCATTGAGGATTTCGTTGAGCTCGTCCTCAGTGTATTCACAGAAGTGCTCCTTCCAGCTGTCCCCGTTCTCACTGCGCAGGATCACCAGCTCCCGCTCCTTGCCACGCAGGGCAGCGAAGTGGGGGATCTCCACAATCACAGGCCTGGCACAGCAACACAGCGCATTAAATGCACACGGGAGAGAGGAAGAGACAGGATTAACAGCAACTCTATTCAGTCTGCCACAAAGTGACCTGGAATTCTACCTATTTGGCAGGAATACTTTGGCAGAATCCTAAACTAATAGGCCACTAACACGTACTAGGTTTTTACAGGGACCCAGTGAGTGCTGAGGGACAGATGAACAAGTGCATTCACCTCTTTCCACAGTGTGAATGAGATTTGGTAAGATAATTGTGCTTATCTGGAAATTTGGTGATTGTTTTGCAAATCCATCAAAAACTCATGCTGGTTTTAGTTGTCACTACTGTCTGGGTTAACCTGTGCAACTTCATTTCAAAGAGAATCTACTGTAATGTATAGGAATAGTGGGACAAATTCTGATCTCCTTTATACAGTGCAAATCAGAATAATTTCATTGCAATCCGTGGGTGATTGTGTCCAATTCTACTGCTTTGTGATTCTACATATTCCAATGAATTTATTCCTGATTTACACCCTGGGATTGACACAGGAGGTCTGAGGAGATCATCTGGGTTTCTACTGCAGTATAGGAGATAAGAATTTGCCTCCTTGACTTACAAGCAGATGTCAATATATGTATCAGCGTATGTGTCCATATATATACACACACATATACAACACATATGTGTACATATAATATATCCATAGTTAGATATACATATACATACATACTCTTAGGAATAAGAGAGAAGATATAAAGATATTTGCATGTACACTTCTCTAATTAGAGGACTCACACAGGTTGCCATGTACAAAGTAAATGCCATGTGTTCTATCACACTGGTGGTATCCAACATGTAACTTATTCATTGATCAGTCCTTGATAAAAAAAAAAATCTTAAATTTTACAGTAGATTCCTTTTTTTTTTTTTGGTCCCAATCCAGGTTGCTTTGCTACAGACATCAAGCACATAACTAGGAAGATTTCATGCCAAAACAAAAATGAAGGCCACAGTACTTGAAGAAAAAAGATACAAACATACCACCAAAACAAAACCACATACCACAAAGGTTGAAAAATGGTCCACTAAGGGTTAAAGTGTACAAAATCTCAAATGATAGAAAGGGACAGTATCATGGGCATAATGACATAAAAAAATCATATTGCAGAAGGAGGAGAAGAATGGGGAGGTCAGCATCCATCAATTTGTTTCAAGTCTCTCCTACCCAAGGAATTTGGTCCCAGGAGGCCCCAGCTGAAGGATTCGGCTGACCAAGCTTTCTCCCTCATTAAGTGGGGGAGGAGCCGTAGGCAGATGAAGTTTACTGAGTACATCCAAAGCAGCAGTGAAAGAAAGAACATAAATAAACTTTATGTATTTTTTGTGCCAGAACGCCAGTGCCACTGTCTGGTGCACAGAGTGGAATTAGGCTGTACACTGAATAAGGTTCTGTCCTAGCCATGACAATTTGGTGACCAAAATTGGTTCTCTTAATTGAGGATCTTTTCTGGCTCGTAGGGGTTTGGGCCATCAAGTCAATGGGAACAGAATCTGGACCTTAGAATGCACCTCTGCAAACAGCACAGCGATTTCCTCATTTCACTGCCAGCACAACATCTGGAAAAACACTCTCAGGAAGGACACAACGATCTGAGAATGAATAAACTAGGCTACATCCTGGGCTTGCAGGGGACACATTCTTACCAGGTAGAGGAACCATTAGAAAGAAAATGGGAAACATACTTAAGAGCCATTTGTGTGTGACAGAGATAATGGGAAGACTGAATGTGACAGCACAGTATTTCTTCTGTTCTTTAGATTTCTTTCTGCTTCTCTTTACAAGTGAGACGTGAAAAGGATAAGTGGTAGCACTAATGAAGATAGTGGCTCTGATCACTTGCCTGTTACAGCAAGATTTTAAAACAACTGAGTTGTTTCCAAGTGGATTTAAACTACTGCTGTTTACAGAGTCATTTTTCCACAGTTTCTGAGTGAAGAGAAGGGATTCCTTCAATCATCCACTTTTGGATGCCACAGTTGATAGGGAGGATAGTTGGTAAAACAAATTTTAAGAAGTGCAGATAACTGCTGCTCTTGGCTGAAAATTTCTAAAACAAGCTCAGCAGCAGACACGAACCCAATCTTTCTACAGGTTATGCAGCATTGGACAGAAGAAACAGCCAAAAAAATCTCAGGGTTGTCCTATTGCTTAATTTAGCAATTCCAACCCCAGAAAAACCAAGGGCACTGTGCTTCCCTGATAGGCCAAATTACTGATAACACAAGTCTCCAAAATCACCCTCTGTACCTTGTGTTGTGTCAGGTTTCTCATTTGGGGTTAGATCAGTGCTGTGCTATAGACTTTTTTTAGATATAGTGTGAGCTGCCTTTTCTGGTTGCAAAAGACCCTTCTCCCACTCTAATACCACAACACCGAGTTGTTTATATCCAAGGAAGCACATTACCCTCAGTGCTAGCTAAAATACCTGTTTTGAAAGGAAAAAGGCATAAAAGCTTTGTGAATTGTTAACTGACAACTGATCTGTATCTCACCCAACTCTCTCTGTTACTGCATGTTACAAAGCTCTTGTTTGGTTCAAGTCTTGAAACAAGGAACCATTTCAGCGCAACTTGGAACCACGAAAACTAGGTTGAATGTTTTCCTTTAGGCCACATGGCCCTCCTTACCCAAGGAACTGAGCACCAGAAGGTCCCACTTCGATGAGGCGGCTGGCCAGCCCCTCGCCCTCCACCATGGGGGGCATGGTGGCCAGGCGGTGGCGTTTGACCAGGCGGCACGTCACGCGCGTGGGCGCTGTGCACTTGCGCGGAGGGATGATGATGCGCAGCCCGTTGTGCCTGCAGCCCCTCATGGCTCCCCCACGAGCATCCACCATGAAGCTAACCAGGAAGCTGGAAAACCAGGAGAAAACAATTAGGGACCAAAGGTGTCATGGGTTGTTGCGGGGGATGTGTTCCACGCACTATGTATGGCAACAGAGCTCTTGCTCAAGAGGTACAATTAGAAAAAGCCTTTCTCCCATGTGAAGCACCAAATCATTGAGTCATTAGACTGGCAACTGCTCCCTAGGAGTTCATCACAGAAAGTGTGATTTTACAGGGCTGCTGTTGGCAAAAGCACCAGCAGCCACTACTAACTGTGAGCACACGTGAATGTAGAGACAAAGTGCAATATCACTACTCTGCACCTGCAAGCAGCTGTAGTTCAAATTGGCACTCTAAGGACCTCACAGGCAAATACATCTTAGTGAAGAAAATTATTTGCAATTCAAAAATATAAAGCTAATTCTGATAGGGGATTTTTTTTCTTAGATTCCCAATACAATTTTCTGGCTACTTGGTGGCTTGAGGTTTTGGTTTTTTTAGATTCTCAAAATAATTTTCCAGTTATTTGATAAACTACAATTTCTAACAAAAATGAGTTTGGATTAAAAACAAAATTCATTCTGGAGTGTGTGGATACAATTTATACTCCAACAGTGGGTGATCACCTAGTTACGTACAAATCCACCACACCATTATTGTCTGAAGTCAGACTTTGGATTTTGGGGGGAGGACAATAGCTACAGTCACTGTACAAGGTTTATTTATAGAGTTTTGGTTTTCTCTGCTACTCTGCACAGCAACGCCATGTCTCACTGGAAAACTCAGAGCTGCAGAAAGCCACCCACAGGGAGCCCTCTTCTAGCACAAGCTAAATTATTCATTTCTTTTGCTTTAAAAGGGAGAAAAACATTTCATTTTGTTTGGAGCTTCTTTTGTGCTGAAGTTTTTGTAGTTCCACATAGACCCAACAGGTCGGTTTTGACAGATTGGGGACATTCTTGGGAAAGGTGTAGAACTACTTCCATTTTTTTTGGTATTTTATGACTTAGGATCATGCCTGATGTGGGATGGGGATGTCAGGTTGCTGGAAGTGAAAATAAGAGCAGATGAGACAGAACGGTGTCAGGCCTACTTCTAGCCACTAAAATAGAACCATCACATGGGGAGTCGCAGAAATGCAACTGAAGGACCTGCAATAGAGAAAAGCCCTTAAAACAGCAGTAACAAACACAGGGATTTTTCCACTGTCCCCTTGACCGTTCTGTGCAACAAACATTGCATCCATTCACTGTCCACACGGCTACAAGGAATTCCACATGCTGTAAGAAACACGACACTCGACACACCGTGCAAGTCAGAGAGATGGACGATGGGGAGGAGCCACAAGCGCCAGTCAGAAGCACACCATGCACCACGGATGCCAGTCTGTCTCACACATGCAGTCTCCTAGTCTACTGCCATTCAGATACCTCTATGGGCTTTGTTTAGTGTAAAACTCTGGGGAGTACAACCATTAGCTCATTCCTTAGAGGTTGGTGTTTCTGTGGTTTTAACAAGGGGGGAAAAAAAGAAAGTGAAAACATTTTACAGCTTCCATTGTCTGGGGATTAGTTGAGAGAAATGGGAGCTTCCTTCACAAAATACATTCTTTATACAGGTTAAAGCACAGATGAAAGAAGAGCTTAAGAGAGACTAAATGCTCAGTTGTTGCACTAATGCTCTGTGGCTTGCACTGCATTACCCTTTATGTGCATCAAGTGTTATCAAAGTGGTTCTGGGTGATGGTTCAGAGATTGGGTCGGAGCCTGGAGTGTGTGTGAGGCAGCTAGTGACACTGCTGGAAGAAGAGTTTCACGTTTTGAAGCTAATACGCTGAGCAACACAAACACTCCCCCAAAATCACCAGCAGCTAATGAGTGCTCTGACTGAATTAAATTAGCATTCACATTTTTCATTGTGTAAGCTGTCAGGAACAAAACCTGTAGGATTTAATTTTTCTCATTATTGACATAATACCCAAGATTGTATACTTTAACAACGGGATCACCTTCTTTTACTGCCCAACACTGAAATACGAGTGCTAGGTCACTTGTATTATGTCTTCCTTAGCTTATCTCCCCACGTGCTCAGCAATGCCGAAGAAGAATACATAGACATGACAGAGGCTCCAAACCAAACAATCTCCCTTCTGACCACAATATTGGGTTCTTTTACTATGGCTGCAACTCTTCCTTTCAGTTTTGGCTTACTGAATGTGCCTGGTGGGTCAGAGTAAGGTCTGTTGGTGACCTATCACAAGGTCTATTAGTCTTCTCCCGCTGAAACCAACTATTGCTCCAAAGAATAAAAACAACAGGCAGAGGTAAGTCTCATTGGAAGGTGGACACAAAGGTAACAATGATTAGGATTAAAACAGTAGGATATTGTTATTATTCACTGCAAAACCAGCTGTTTCTACCATAAAGAAGATCTAATGCAGTTATTAATTCAGACAGGCATGGAATAGTGTGAGGAGAGTGTAGAAAGGCCAATGCCAATTATCACAATAACTGTGGAGGAGCCAGTTCACAAATCAGCAATATACCACTATGAATCTATTGTCCTTTTCCACCAAAACTTCCTGCTTATTTTCCAGCTTTTTGCCATATTCATTTTTTCATTCCCTTATTTAAACCAATTTCTTTTCATCTCTTAGAGGTTTTGATCAGCACATTTCACATAAGTTTAGCTATCCCAGAGAGTGAAGCAAATAACATGTAACAAAGCATTTTCTGGAGCACAGTATCCTCTGTTTCTGCCGATTTGCTACGTAATAGGGAATTTGGATGGTGCCATTACTGGCCCAGGACTGGAAAAGCTCTTCCCTTTTGAAGGGCTCTCTCAATAACAGATAACTCACCCAAACTAATGCATGCTTTCTGAAATGTGTGTTTAGACAGTGAAACAAATTGCATGACTAATATAAAGGAAATGTAAAACTAATTACTCTGTTGCCCATGCGCACATACGTTATTTTTCTTCTCCTTGATGTTTCTTTTAGCAGATGTTAAGTGACAAGAGTGAGATAGGAAGAGATTGCACTCAACAAACAAAACTAGCAGGGATAATTGGCAGATGAAGCCATCACTCTGGGAAGTGGTACCTTTTCCCAATAAACTCCCATGGTCAGAAGGAAATTAGTGCATAATACTACTGTGTGAATATCCCTAACATCATATACACTCCCTGAGGCTAAGCAGGAAATTCAGAGCCTACTCCATGTTCCAGCTCCACAGGGCACTACTACAAGCACTATCATCCACCTACATACAGAGAATGAAAGGAGAGGAATCATTACAGAGAAACACAAATGGCTGTGAAGAGTTCAAGAGAGGGGAAAAAAAGAGTGAAAATAAGGGTTAATAAAAGGGATTAAAGGAACTTGAACTTATATTTCAATTAAGCGATGACTCAAAGTCAAAGCAGATTAGGGGTTACAGCTGCAGTCACAATTGGCTTGTCAAGGGTGACTAGGGCAACAAGGATATGATCCTTCTCAGTACTGAGATAGCCTTTAAGTAAGTTTGATTTCCAGTTTTAAAGGTTCTGTTAGAAATGAAGCACGACACAAACATGTGGCCCTGACAGTCCTGCAAATTGGATCGATACTGAACTTGCCTGAGACTTAGCAAGGTGGAAGTGCAATATAATAGCCAAATCAATGCAACAAATCAAGTTTGGGGAAATCATCACCTTCTCTCTTTGAAAGAAAATGAAGGGGAAATTAGAACTATTTTTCTAAAGAAAAAGATAAAGAACAAAAGCAATTCTCCTATAGGAATCAGTTGCAGACTGCAGGAGAGTCTATACCTGCTCCTGTTAAACACACAGCAGTTAGCTCAAGCATCATCATCCATTCTCCTCTAATTTAGCCATACTTACTCATCAATTTGAGAGGCCACTGAATTCTCTTTGATTTTTAGATCAATTAAAACCTACATATTTGGCATATAAAAGGTAACTACATCAAACAACATTGGCTACAGTGTGCTTGTGGTTGAGCACATACACAAAAGGCCCCTAAAGTTTCAGGCTGTTTCCATGCCTTCTACAGAGAGCAAATGGGTTTTCTAACGGCTTCACTTGATCAAAACACAGATATTATATGGGCAAAAAGTTGGAGTGTATTTTCATGAAGTATTTATATTTCAGATCTGAGCCTGAGTTATTTATTCCCTTCGCTGATTTTACCTGCATAGAATTAACTACTAGTTCTACTCTCTCTCCTCCTTTGAAAGATAACAGCAGGATGAACAAAGAAACTAAAAACCAGTGTGTCAGTGCCGTGGGGGTGAAGGAAGACACTTGTTGTGTGCTTTGTGAGGAGTCCCTGTGCTGGAAGGAGCTTTGCGGAGAGGCAGAGCTTCGGGTGGCTGCGGACACAAGCGTGTAGGCACTCAAACTCATTCTGCAGAGTCGCTGAGGAGCCATGCAAACCCAGCAGGGCAGGGAAGGGGCTTTCTAGGACAGGCAACAGCTGTTTGAACACACAGCACCCAAAGAGGCAAAATCTACACCACCACTCTCATACAGTCGGGTCAGGAAGGGTTCCTGCGTCAGACTAGCCGGGCAGGCACACATGCGCTCGTCGGGCAGCAGGGAACAAAGAGCTCCAACCAGAGCACATCCACTGCAGACACAGCTAACAACTCCTCGGTGTACATTGTCTTAATTTAGGGAAGAAACTGGGAAACAAGGAGATAGCAGCATTCAGTGTTAGTCGCAGTGTGAGGAAGCAGAGACAAAC